TTCATGTTTTATGGTTTTTTTTTAGAATTCTTTCTAGCATTCTAGCATATGAAATTCATTCTTGTATTTTTCTGGGTTCATTACTTTAATAGATTTCTGATATTTCCCTAGTATATTCTGGTTCAGCTTCCCAAACGAGACAGGGAGACCCAGTCAGACATATTTTAATATTCGTATTTAGTATTTTACTATGCCTGAGATTACGGATTTTTTTTTGGGTACTGCATTTGGAATAATTAAAGTGAGAAATTAATTATACAATTTGTTCAGAAGCTACATATCATTTACGGATTTATTTCATATTTTATGGTTTTTTTTTAGAATTCTTTCTAGCATTCTAGCATACGAAATTCATTCTTGTATTTTTCTGGGTTCATTACTTTAATAAATTTCTGATATTTCCCTAGTATATTCTGGTATATTTCCTAGTATTATCTGGTATTTCCAAGTAGTTTTTGATATCACTCTCAATAACAAAAAAAAAATGCATATTTATCAGCTAGTTCATTTAGCTTCTATAAATTCAAACCTAAACCAAACTATTTTCACATACGATCTCCTTTCAGGCAGCGAACTTTTCAGGTCCCTTAGATCTCAAATAGATCTTAGATCTGTTCTCGATTCTTAACTGTTGTATGTTCTTAACGTTGGATTTCTGATTGAAAAACAGTCAAGATAACAAATATATATCTGAGATAAACCATAAATATCTGGCCACAAATTCAATTTACGATCAACAATCAATTTGTTTCTTTTTTGGTTTTTGCTTCGACGCGAAGATCGAAACGAAACGATCGTTCAGGTTGACTCCAGTGGCCCCCATTCGTTAGGATCGATCGTTGGAACGGTTCAACTCCTCCTCCTCCACTGGCATATTTTTCATTTTGTTTATTTGCCGCAATGCCAATTCGAGGCGAAACGAAACGAAACCTCAACTTCTTGACATTGCCGGAGGTGAGTTTTGATTTCCAGTTCCCAGAGAGACAGAGACAGAGACGTGAATGTGGAATGGGGGTTTTTGGCTTTTTTCTGTCTGCGGAAATTGAAATTTGCTTACAAAGTGAAGGCGGATCGGATCGATTGCAGGCAAAAAAAACAGACACACACACACACACACGGGCGAGAGGGCCAGAAGAGGCTTGGTTATCTTGCCACACTTGACAGGCACCGATCGTACTTGCCTCTCAAGATATACGTACGTATGTACCTCTTGCCACACACACACACACTCACAACCGACCACCTCGTGCTGCGCTGCCTCCTTTGGGCTGCCTTCGATTGGGTGCAATTTTTATTGTTGGCATTATTATCGTCACATGTCGCTCACTAATTGATTTTTCTTGTCGCCTGCCTGCCTCGTCGTTGCAGTCGTCGATCGTCGATCGTCGCTGCTGGATCGCTGAATGATTGCTGGGGCTGCAACTCTTTGCCTTGTTTTTTTCTTAGCAAATTTTGTGCACACACATGACACTAACCCACCGACGACAGGCAACAACAACATCAGCAGTGCACTGCCACAATGTGTCAAGCTGTGGTTGCATTTATAAATTTCATTTCGATCACTCGCGAGGGGCCAACACACACACACAGAACACACTCTATCGATTCCCCCGATCCACCTCTCTTTTTTCGCGTTTGTTGCTTGTTTGTATTTGACATTTTGTCACTTAATTTGTTGTTGGAGCTGCCGATGCTGTCGCTGCGCTGGCTGTTGCTGCCACAGGTTGTGGCGGCTTAGAGCAAGCAAGCAAGCGACTGGGACTGGGACGGAGGACTGGTACTGGGTCTGTTGTGGCCCGATCGTAGATAGGGCTCCGACTTTAATTGGACTTAACGGAAACTGGAGACCCCAACTGGAGACCCCAAGTCCAAGAGGCATGCAACAGCCTTCCAGCTGCTGCTGCTGCTGCCGCTGCTGCTGCTATGGGGAATGTCTCTTTTGCTGTCCAACTGTCCCAACTGTCTGTTCGGCTTGTGGTGGTGTCTCTCTTTTGTAGGAATCACAGCGGTAGTGATTGTAACTTGATTGTAGACCAACTCTGATCCTGAGAACTGATCAGTCTTTGACATGGACCTCTCTGCAGAAGAACAGATCGTGAGAAAGAAAACTTTTGTGTGTGTGCCAGTGACAGAAATACATATATTTAAAGTTGTTCTGCAGCTTGTATTTTGGGGATTAAGTTGCGGCGATCTTTTAGAGGCATATTCTAATACTATTGAAAGCAAATACCAAGAATATCCAGGAGATTATGGAATAGATTCTGGAGAACAAAGGAAGATTCTTTCTCCTGGCGAAAAGGGGGGCTATAAACCTTTAAATTCCCTTTTTTTCCTAGCGTATTTTTGGTATTACTTTTAGTATTTTTGTGGTCTCTTTTTGACTGGTTTTTTGTCTCGGATTTTTATATATTTATATTTTTTTAAATAAATATTTTATTTATTTTTATGATGTATTTTTTTTGTTGTTATTTACGGTATTTTTGTTAGTTTATCTAGTATTCGCATTTTTACAGCATAGTATAGTATTTTATTTTCCAGTTTTCGAGCATAATTTCTGGTATTTTTTTAAAGTTTTTTATGTATTTTTTTATAGTTTTTTTTCTATTATAATACACGTTTAAAAAATAACATTAATAGGTACGACATGCTCATTCGTAAGTTTTATTCAAAAGTTCATTTTCCCCTCAATTCTGACTGTTCCTCCCTTCCCGCTTGCCTTTCAAAAGTCACTGTCCCATCAGTGCAATGCCTGGCCATGATTGATTCTCCGCCTGAAACGCTATGTAATCTAAACTCTTTCGTTGCATCATCGTCTTCAGCGGAACACCTGCGTCATTATTTTACGTTATTGTCGCATATAGTCGCGCATATATATCATTGATAGCCGATGCCCCGATGTTGCGCTGACGACAACGACATCGATTCCACTCATATGCCCCCGACACACACACACAAGACAGAGTGCCACGTTGTCGTTCGTTCGTCGTTCGTTGTTGCACATTTCTCAGACGTCACGAAAACTCCTGGCCCAAACCCCCAGCTCCCAAAACCCCCCAACCACCCAACCCAAATACTAAACCAAAACCAAAACTAAAGCAATGCATGGCGATGACGATGGCGATGCGATGGTCGTTGGCCTGGGCATCCCATCCGAGATGGGAGACGATGGACCGATGCTTGGGATCCCGGGTACGACAGGTCTTTGGTGACTTATGTTTGGCTGCCGCTGCAGCCGGCACATCCATCATCTATCAAAGATGAATTCATCTGCGTCAAGGCGGCCAGGGAACAGGCCAGTGGCAAGGGCAGGGCTGTGCAGGGGCATTTGCCCTGAATGTGCGGCAAATAATATTTATGAATAAATTGCATGTACGAACGGGTCGAGCACCTTCGATGGCTATTCAAAAGATAGAGTTGTCTAGCTTTTGAGGCAAAAATCCAAGAATTTTATTATAAATCGATAACAAATCGATGGGTTTAGAGAGGAGTAAAAGGAGAAACATGCATTAAATCTGTGTAAAATTACTTTCCTACACAGAGCTTTGGAAAATATCGATAAATATCGATAGGTATACATAGAATGCAGAATTGATAAATATATTTTTTTTAAATATCTCGTGATATCATTTTTTCCACTGCGTCTTTCATTTAAAAAAATAATCAACAATTGCGCTTATCGATATAAAAGAATCGATATGCTGGCAACCCTGTTTATCACTGCTTCCTCCATTGATTTCATGCCCAAGCAACTTGTCAAGCCATCACCTGGTCGCGCACTTTAGGAGGCGGAGAACGGCAGACCGACACCTCTGATGGAGGAGCACATTCTGCCAGACGGACAGCCCAACGATGGGGAAGATCATTTGCTGCCGGCTGCAGGAAATTTCAGATTTATTATGGCACTTGCCATTATTTATGATTTGTGCAAAATGTAGTCGTATATCAAAGTCAATGACTGGTTGACACTATCCCGAATTATAGATGCGATTCGAAGCCTCTAATATCGACGATAATTATAGGTACTAAAAGAGAAAACTAAAACCAAATATATAATTCCCATCGAAATGGCCATCTTTACGATACGAAAACTTGGCCAATGCCATTATTGTTGGGGAGGTGGGGGTGGGCGACATTCAAGCCAGAGAAAAGACATCAAAGTGCCTTCAATTGCATTGCCATCGAAACGATTTCGAAGCGAGCAAACAATTTACTGTTGCATTATACTCTGCACCCAAATCGCACAAACATTCAGATATACTTATAGTAGATATATGTATATGCCGCCCGCCCGTTCTAGATGCAAGTTCTCTCACATAATCATAAAATGACTTGGAACGGAAAAGGGGCCAAAGAAACAGCCAACCATCGCACCAGCAAAACGAGAGCCAGAGAAGAAGTTCCAGCGACAGATTTATGCACTTGAGAAAAGCTTTTGCTTCGTTGCATTTGCCTCCTGACTGTGTATGTGTGTGTGTGTGTGTGTGTGTGGGTGTGTGGCGGCTTCTCCTTCGTGGGTCCTGTGCCTCGTTCTTGGGGGGAGGCCATTCCATTGCTGAAAATGTGACGGCGGCGCAATCGCCTGGATTTAGTTGCAATTATTTTTAATGTTGTTTACTTACCCGCCAATTGATGATGCCAATAACTGTTTCAAAAACTTTTCGTCCCAAATCGAAGCGAGAGAAGTCTCCCTGTAATGGGTCCCTTACCCAGAATGCCAGAAATATTGTTGCAAACAATTGGCTACAAAAAAAGGGAAGTATCTCAGGAAAATGTTCTTAATGTTTTTTTACCCTATAAAAATGTTTTTAAATCTTGGGAAAAATACGTAAGCAATTGCACGTAAATATCGATTGTGTGTCATCGATAGATTCAATTATCAATCGATAAAATTCAAATGTGAAAGCAGGGGGGGATAATTTCTAGTTAATTTTAATATATAATTTATAGAAGTATCGAAATCAATCGATAAATTAAACATACATATAAATATCACGTTAATTTCTAGATAGAATCAACTGAACCAGATTTTCAACTGTAATAATTTATCGATAATTTCATATATCGATAATTATCGACAACAAATTATTTTGACTGGGAACTTTCATTTATTTTGAACAATGACTAGTCTACTCCTCAGTACCTTTGGAATATCGTCCCAGCAGGCTGGCCGTCCAGTGCCGTTGCGGTTGAACCATTTTCCGTTTGGTCTGCTGCTCAATCTCAAGAAGCCTCCGCTGATTCTCCCTGAACTGCTCGATGGGATCCTCAAAGCGGCTGTAATATTTGAGGATCTCCCGCACATCGTTCACTTGGTGTTCGGCCAGCAGTTCCAGGAACGCCGTCAGATCGAAGAGCTGGACATCGTCATCATTGCCCAGCCAGCGGGCCATAATGAAGGCGTTTTCCGGATGTTGGGGCGTGGCATTGCGATCCCAGTCCACGACCACCACACGGTTCAGATTTCGGTTGAGATTGAGCAGGTTCTTCACGTGCTGCCCCTCCACCAGCTCCGTGTCGCCGCGCACCACGCGATAGCTGATGTAGCCATAGGGATCGAGGGCGTCCAGCAGGGGAAAGGCGGTCATGCCCTGCTCCGAGGTGTAAACCACGATCTCAAAGTGTTTGCTGCACTTGCGCAGAAAGAAGTCGACGCCGGGGCGCTTCTTGAAGCGCCAGCCCGTCTGGTAGGTCCAATCCAGATGCACCAGAATGTCGTTGATCTCCAGGACCAGGGTATACGGTGGCTGAATGTAGGGCGGCGGTAGTGTGTCCGGCAGCAGCTTCACGGGCAGTGGTTCCTCCAGCATTTTCTGATAATACTGCAGCGAGTGCCACATCCTCTCCAGATACGCCCGGAGCCAAGGCAAGCCACTGAATTCATCTTCGATGGGCAGACCATGCTGATCCATCTCTGGCTTGCCCAATTCGTAGATGGCCCAAAGCACGGCACTGCAGAAGCTTCCCACCAGCAGACTGTAGACGGAGATCTTTCTGATTCTCCTGAAAGTGTTTGTATCTTCGCTGGCCTTGCTGCTGCTGCTTGTGGATTTGAGTTTCCGTAGGGGGTTTTCCTCTGCACATTTCTTGGGGGCGATGCAGCCACGGGAGCTGTTGGATTTTCTCATCCAAAAACGTACGCCTCGCATACAGAGACTTCCATAGCCAGCCATGTTTAGGTAATTTTTGTACAAATTTTGGGACTTGTATCGAAATTATATCTGAAAGATATAACTGAATGATAATATCAAGCATGCGATGTTGTTTCGTTGGGGGTAAAACATCTACAAATCAGTGATATTCCCATCTACAAAGTACATCTTTCCTTTCATTTATTGCCAAGTAACTCCATCGTTTTGGGTTTTGGTAAAGCATTCTCTTGGCCTTCGTTTTGCCTTTGATTCGATTGTGGATTGCCACACACTCATGCCCAAATCTTCTGGGGGTAGGCCACGCCCTCGTGCCCAGGTCCTTCAGAGCAGGCCACTATATATGTGCGGTACGTGTGAATTGCCTGGCCAAATGTTGTCGGTAGCAGCAGCAGCAGCATCATCCTCATACCCATCCCCATGCCGTGTGCCCCTCAAGATGTGATTCCGATGGCTGGCTGCTGCTGCTGCATCAGCCGTCAGTTTTGCCCCGCCGCTGCCACTTGCCTCTTTTTATGCTCGACGCGCTTCCATCACACGGGGCTGCCTGCTCCGTTCGTTCGTGCTGCAACATCACGCGCACCAATATACAATAATATCCAGCCCATGTCTAGAGAGAGAGAGTGACTCCCACTCTCCGCCTCCTCACATGTCAGGCAGGCATCGCAGGCGTCAAATGAATGTTTCATACTCCATGAACGTGGCTCTCGCCAGGAGTCTAGGACTCATCTGTGCTGTGACATTTGATTACTTCCATCTATCCTGAAGTCTCTTGTCCTTCTGCCCCCAAATTGGTAATTGACAATCCAAAGAATTTTGATGCGTGCGGGATTATTTATGCAACATTACCCATTCCATGGCAATCTTGAGTTCTTTACGAATTAGTGCCTTGAATGCGGGGCCAATTGAGATATATCCCTGGCTCCCCATCATGGATGTGTCACATCTCTAAAACATAAACAAGGCAAAGTTATGCGCCATCCACTGCTGCTGCTGCTCCTGCTGCTCCTCCTACGAACAGGAGACAAAGTTTTGCTTTTCGTGCAGCATTCGGGGAAATGATTTGTGCAGTTCGTGCGCCTGGCATTGCACCTAAATGGCGAAAGTGGACGGAGACGGAGACGAAGACCACTCTGATAAACGTTTCGTCCTTTGGCCCCGCAAGTTGGTCCTAGTTGTTTCGCACCTGTCTACCCACCTCCTACCCTTCACTCTCAATCCCTCGCATAAATAGAGGCAAACTCAAGAGAGGGAGAGAGAGTCAGAGACCGACCCCAACGGCGGCATCATTGCCGATGAAAAATATGGCAAAGCGTTGGGCGGTAATTTGTGCAAATTATGTGTGTTGCTGCCGCGCGTTTTCCCTTTAGATGTTGCTGCTGCTGCTGCTGCCTGCCAGCCAGAGTTGCCATCGTTCTCTACAGTGTGGGCACGTGCTAATGGCCAGTGGAGGCCATCATCATCCGACCGTTGGAGGAGTCCTTCAAATCAACTCGAAAATGAAATCTCAGCGGCGCCAGCGGCCGCGCGAGCCATTAGCATTTTCGGGATTTGGAATATTTACGCCTTGAGTGCGTGATCAGATCGTTTTACGGGTATTTTCGAAGGATATTTGTAGGATATTGACATGATTTCGTCATCATCAAGTGGCAGGGAAAGCAAAGGAGGAGCCAGAAACGATGGGCAGGCAGGCAAACCGAAGGAAGAGGAGGATTTAATGGGGAATCATTGGGCCAAGATGAGCTTTAGACAACTTTCAATATGATTTCTAAAGGGATGCAGCTTTCTGCCACTTTAACTATAATTTGTTAACAACTTTATTCAACGATTTGTCTCTCTTTTATATTTTCAGCGATAATATTTAATTTTGTTCTGGTGAGTACAATATAATTTTTAAGTGTAGAATTAAGAACGAACTTTCAAGATGAAATTCTAATTTTAGCTAGTTGAAATTTCTAAGAAAAAGAGACATTTTTTTATGATCTAATATTAAGCAATTTGTTCCTTCCTCTTGTACAAATATCCCACCATGGAATCCAATTAATCCCAGAGATTTTTTGTGCACCATGTCGTCATGCCCCAAAAGTAAGAGAAAAAAAGAGTCGCAGGAGGTGTCGGAAGGGTGATGGGGCGCTGGCCCGATGGCGACGCATCGATTGTCGAAATGTCAGATGTAAAATTTTATTACTTCAATAACTTTACCGTTATGAGGACTTAATTTATGAGTCGCAGCAGCAGCAGCAACAGCAACAGCAACAAAAGCTGCAACAATGACATGAGACAACAACGATTGGGGAGGGGAAAAAGCAACTGCTGCAATTTTTGCAACCATGTCCAGGACCTCTGTCAGTGTCCCTTCTCTGAGTGCCTCTGTGTTTTCGTGTCTGTGTGATAATGTCCTGTTTAAATGCAATAATTTCAACTGCAATTTTCCGCGGGCCACAACAGGACACCCTGCAGGACCTTTCCAGCTTTACTGCCACGTTTTGACCCCCCACCACCATACGTCCGCCTGTCTGCTGGTGGCCCGTGTGACGACCAAATGACTGCCAGCTTGCATTTATTTATTGCTGACTGACGTGGGCCCCCTGGTTCACGTGTACGGCCCCATTGGCAGTGCTGTGGAGGTTTTAGCCTTTTTTTTAAGAGAGTATTTGGCTGAAAAAATGCTGAATGGTGACCCCGACAAGGGAGAAAGAAGATAAATAATATGCGGAGAGATAGATATGAATTGTCAATACTCTCGTCGATTTGTTTCTTATAAAAAAAATTATTCAATTTATTACTACAGAAAAATTTATAAATTTCACTTCGTATATTTTTCACAAAAATAAACTTTCATTACCTTTCAGGGTCACCAATTTATTCGTTTACACATATAAATATTAAGACAACTATATGTGATTGGCTCTCTCTGTCTCTTAATCGGAATCATTGCATTTCCTGCAATGATCGGGGTCACCATTCAGACTTACCATTCAGACTTCAGTCTTTATTAATATCTAGCTTGATTTTCATTCCTATTCAGTGTCACCTCTAACCGGGCAGACTCGCAATTCACGACTGTGGCACACGCAGGTGGCATCCCCACAGCCGAGACATGGGACTGGGTGGGACTGGGAGTGGACCCCAATACTTACTCTGCTTTCCGCGTCACTCTGTCTAGTTGCGAGTCATAAAAACGAAAGTTATGACAACGCTCGTTGGATTTATGGGCATTTTGCAAAATTATTGTTATTTATTTTATTGATGTCTCGGCTTTATGCAATTGCAAAAATATTTTGCTGCATACATTTCAACGCCAAAGTGGAGGAATACTTCAAAAAGGGGTGGGCAGGGGAGGAGGCATGGAAGAGGGGATGTATGGCACTGAAGGACTCCGCGTATCGTCAACTGTGAAATGCACAAATGTCTGGTGGCTTTTCCACATTTTTCGCCCGTCAGCGCAATTTATGTCCCTGACAGCGATAGGCATTTCCTTTGAAGTCTCAAGTGCTTCAACGGTTACGGACCTTCTGATTCTCACACTCCACTGAGGAGGATTTTCACGAGTGATTGCACCAAAGTGTCAATGTTGTGAGGCGACGCGACGCGAGACTCGCAAATTGTGAGTATTTTGACGGAAACGTGTCATAAATAGCACTGCATGGGGTCCTAAATCGTAATGTAAACCCTAAATGGGGAGACTTTTGCGTTTTATAGGCAGCTTGTGGCAGTTTGTGTGTCTGGTTTTGGTTTGTTTTTAGCAGGGGTAAATACTGGAAGTATCTATAGACGTTTTTAACTTTCATTCTTAGTTTTTCTTCACTACATTTCCCCTCCTTTTCCACGTTTTAAATGTAATCTATTTCCATGCAATTGGAGCATCAGAATCGAGGCAACAAAAACCCTTATTGATGGATAACAAATTGCAGCCGGAGGAGCCGAAGAGATTTCTAATTCAGAAACAAGAAGCAATGACACATTTCGACTGTTTGTCGCGTGGTATGCAAAAATCTCAACGAGTTGGCTGGCCAATAACACTGCCAACGCTGATAAATGATGTGCCTCGGGATGTGTAGAATTTCTTCTCTATTTCGGTCAATCGTAACTCTGACAATGGATAGTGGATGGAAGGGGGTGGGGGAAATGAATGTGCGGGAAATTCCATCGGTTGACAGTATTGTGTCCTCGGCGACAAGCAAAATATGTGGCCAAGATGTCACAGCTAACAAACGAAAGCAAAAAAAAAGAAAAAAAAAAAAACTACAGCTAAAAGAACCAAGAAAGAAATCCAAGGCAGAGTCCGAGTTGAAGACGAAACGATATGTGGACTCTCTTTTGGTCCAACCCTTGGATTCGTGGGGGGACCCCCCATCGCGTTTGGTTCGCTTGATTTTTGCATGTTTTCTGTGGCACTTCTCTCTCTGTCGCTTTGACAGCGCGGACTGTCGGTCCGTCCTCACTTTTTGTCTCTTATATTGTTTGGCGTTTTCTTGTCTCTCCTTTTTTTTTTGTTCTATCGCTTTTTGCCCATCCATTTAGCTAGCTTTGACAATTCGTGAGGGCATGGGGCAGTCCGCGCCACACATTTGAATTTTATTGGCCTGCCTGTCAAGCGGGGCATCGATGAAAGAGAAGGAGATGAAATTAGGGAGACAAAGATATGGAAAGATGCTATAGGGATAGTGAACTCTGTGTCTTGTAGTGCCTATGAATGTTAAGAACTTTGAAAATAAAACAAAGAATTTTTAAAAGTGGAATGTTTTAATAAAATAATTATAATTAAATCGATAGTGAAATTATCGTGAAATTTTCTTATATTTTAATTAATAAATTATAATATAATTATATTTTAAGTGTTTATTGGGTCACCAAACATTTATCGGGGTCACCAGGTGCTGTTCTTTTCACCCCAATTGTTTAGTTTTTGTTAACATAAGTCGCGAAGAGTAATACCTATATTTGTATCCATATATACAAATGGTTGGGAGTCACTAAAATTTAATTAAAACAAACAAGCCAACGTGTCGGGGTCACCAATTCGTACTATCAACATTTTGGCTCATTAAATTGTGAAATCAGCGCAGCAAATTGTTGT